CTCTGATTAATCAGATCTATTACATTAGTAAGATACTTCGCATTCTTCAAACTTGTATCCATCTGGGGGCCTAAAATTCATCAGATTTAGATTCCCTGGTGTTTTTATTCTTAACACTATTTCAGATGATTCTCATGCTTAAAAATACATATTTGGATTCTTCTGGTTCATTTCCATGCTTCCTCCACATTCTTACACCTCCTCTAGTTTGCATTATACTATATGGCGTCTTTAGAATCTTCACTTTATTCAAATCTTGCAAAATATTGCAGTAACTCGATTTTTTCAAATCTTTAGGAGAATTGTTGAGATCCATCACATGCTTCGCAGTTTTTTTATTTTTTAAGTGCTGAGAATACGTCAGATTCTCTAGCCTTTTTGCAAATTCCAGGTTCCTTCACTTTTCTGCTTTTGTTCAGATTCTATTAACTCTTAGGATATATTACTTTTTACATTGCTCAGAATTAAGATCTTTCTAACTAAACTAAAAAAATTTTAAATCCTTCATACCCTTCTGTATTCTGAATTACGATAGGAGGGTGGACACGGTCCACGCGTACCTAGGCCTCAAATTTGGGCTCTTTGTGCTAACCTCCCTGACTAGAGTCGTCCGACCACGAAGTCCATAATGGACCAAACCAGTTAATGTTTGGGGAAAAACGCTCAGCATAGTGACAATTACACGTGCTTCCGGGAGTTTATTTGATAGCATAGCTCCCAAATGAAACAATATTGACCATTGGTTGATTTCGAAACACTGTTTGTTTAGTCCCTTCTGCCACCTAATTGTTTTACATACAGCTAGCGGTGAAATCAACATTGTACACGTTTTTACAGTGTACGTAAGTACACCGCAAGTAATGTGGCATTTAGAATTATTTGCAGCATTACTAAATTACTTATAGAATTCCTCCAATCATCAAAACATGAAGTCTTTAGGGACGGACTAAACCCAATAAAATAATCTCTACGGATGCCATGGAATGGCCTACACCTTCTTACGAAAATGGGGGACGTAATTACGAAACGCGGGATGATATTAGCGTTTTTCAGAATACCCCCAAACCACTTCCGCGTGTTTGGTTAAGGAAGTAGTGAGAGGGTAGCGGTTAATGATGACCCCCGTTTGATTGTTGTGTGCATTGCACTACAGTTTCTCCCTCAATAGGATTATGTTTCCCCCTTTTAATACGAGAAACTTGGCGTTTATGTTTGAAACATTCTGGGCACGTACTCCACCGTTATTTACACTGGCAACTGAAGTATTGCCGCTTCTCTCGACAAGCAAAAATATGTATACCTTCATCTCTACAGCACCTGTAGTTATCAACAAAATTTTTCCTTCGAAAAAATTGCATTATGCATTGCACGTTGTGTACGTGTTATGATGAAGTAGGTACATTAAGAAATGTATACGTGTACGTCTGGAGAAAAGCGAGCGGTGATCGCTGAAGCAAGAATGTCTTTGCAATCAAACTGATTTCGGGAATTTCGAAGCAATGATAAAGTTTTCCTTCGCAATACCAAACCGCTTGAATTCGGACAAGTCCAGAGTCAAACTGCGCCATTTACTTTGTTCTAAGGATAATTGTATTTCTACTGAGAGCGCAATCCCTTTGACAAGCAACGGAACCCTAATTGCTTTGTTGTGTAGTGGCTAGCTTTAGAGTGTAAATTTAAGCTGCGTAATACAATAAAGTTCCCTTCATAATTTGCGTTAATTACGGTATTCTTAGAGCATCCAGATTTTGCATAAAAAAATCAATTAGTTGTTCAAACACCAAATTTCTTCTTCTATTTACGTTTTTTAACAAACCAAACATTTAAACGGCCGAATGTCTTCATTTTTGTCTAGCAAAGAATCTTAATTAGGTTAATATTAGCTTTTGCCAAGCGACACAAGCAATTTTCATATTACAACAATTTTCACATTACTAGGGAAAATATTGATACAGTGCACGCACGTTATTTGCATTATGGATGGCAGATATAACAGTTACACAACTTTCCAGAAATTGTAGATTATACTTTAATTAGCATTTTTCTTAAGAGGGCAGATTGTCTTTATACCCAAGATTTTTGGAAAGCCTGCATGAGTTATGCTCCCCAAAGAGTACACGCGACAGGTTGGTATACGAATAAAAGAGAATTGGACTATGGCTATACTATGGTGAGTTGTGTAACTATATCTATCTTATTCCATATACTTGGAATTCGTACTTTTAGCTTTTAGGTTGTCTCTAGGTTTTTAAGTTAATGTTTTATGGATTTTCGGTTAGCCGTTATCTTAAACAAGTGCCCCATGGAAGAGTGTTTCTTATTCAACAATTAAAAAGTACAATTAAGCAACAATTAAAAGGAAATGGGGCTCTTTGCCAACAAGAAATTCGAATCCCATAAATGAAACTAAAGCTTTTGTGATTTGAAATGCCCCCAAACAACCAATGAATCGTATAAAAATATCGTAATTGAATCACACACTTTGATCAGCATCCATTTTAAAAATCCTCGCACAACAACACATATCACTTTCTAGATTAAGTCCTATTTGCAGAACTATGCCTCGTATATTATTTAACGGTATCGTCGTATTGTAAGACAAACCGCCCTCTTCCTCCTTCAACCGATCGGTATATTCTTGTGTCGTTATACCATAACAATGTATCACCTGATAGTTCGGCGACTTCTTTGCCGTCCGCTTTGCCATCATGCACTATCACTATAGACACTGAAACGAGACCAATTTATAACTACCGCTCTACGCGATTTCATGTACGGCGGATATTACGTTTATTTAAAAAGGAGTCTCGGGAATAACAACTTTCACAACACCTTCGGAGCAAGCCCTCTAGGATATAACGTAACAAACATAAGCATTTCGTAGAAAATTCACAGTCTGCATCACATAATCACTCAAAATGACATCAGTAGAATTGAATGTTCGGCACATTAGTGCCATTATCACACCCACGAGCAAAATGACCGAGCACAAACACCCTATTTATAACTATAATTACATCCTGTATATTTAAATCTCACCACATATACATCTTTCGCACCTCCCTATACATTTATTTTCGAATTTTCCACCACAACACTATTTCATGAATCAGTCACTCAGAGTTAATCACAGAAAACTATTTCCGATTCTCTCGCATACATTCCCCCTCGCATTCCCCTATACATTTATTTTCAAAATATACTCCGTGATCGCGCCGGAACAATATGGCCACCCAGGTAGAATCTTATTCACAATTTGTTTATTTATTTATTTTCCAGGGACAGATAGCTAGATCAACTTATATTTATTCCGCACCTACTAAGAGCATAGAATACAAACATCTCTCAATAATAATTGATGGGTTTAGTTTTGAAGGCATCATGAGAAGTATTGCGTAAGGTGGCACTTAGCTCTTGTGCACTTTTGGGATAGAAAGTTTAATTATAATGGACTATTACAATCAATTATAAATGCTGAAGACCAATTATTGGTTTTAGATGATTACATTACAATACAAAAATAGCATTAATCATAATTTACGAGTCATCACTTAATATAAGTGAGCAACTTAATGAGTATTATAGGAGATCGTTCCAGTACATAATCAAAGCGACGTCGTTGAAGAATTGGATATGGTACTGCCCTGATGAATTAGGGGATATTTACCCTTCTTATAATGTACAGATGTGCCACTCTAGAAATGCATATAAGTTCATTGAAGACAAAAAATAATCATCACTTACATTTGAACTTTGCCTTGGGACCCCCTTTTGGTTTTCCATCTGCTGCAGCTTATCACTGACCGAATGGCCTCTGCTCACCGTGAAGAAGAAAAGGATACCTTTCGAAACTTTACCCATTTTAATCGCGTGTGGTGATACTAAACTTTTGAAGCGAATGTGTCACTCCCTTAAGTAACCCCTCGCTATATCTAATCTCCAGTTATGGTTTATCTTTTTTTTTCGAAATAGACACTTCACCTGATTGCGATAACAAACATTCACCCGTCCTTCACTGCATTCCACGTGATATGCTCGGCAAAACATTGCAAACAATGAGGTCAGTTTCAATGACGCGGGGCTGGTGCATTTTAAAGGTTATTACGTAGCGAATAGGCCATCCGAACCATGCTTTTGAATGCATACAAACGCGATGAGGGTGGATTTTTAGGTAGGAAAAGGTGCCATATTTTGGACATGCATCACTTTGGCTTCTGCTGGTAGATTCTTACTAGCATTGTGAGGTGTGCCAAAAATGAGATATTGCAGTGTGCAGTTGTTTAAAGATGTCCACTAATGCAGTTGCATTGCATGCGGATATTATATGCCTTTAAAATGAAGCGCATCCTTCACAACTTCCTAATAATCTAGTGTGCTAAAGCCCGTTTTAAATGATATACGTTATTTCATGGAAGTTGAAAGTGAAATAACTTTCCGGGATTTTTTGAAGTGATAGATGTGCTTTACATGCTGCAATTCTGTTTCACTTTCACATGAAATTTTACTAATACCGCAACCTAAAAAAATATAGATTAGATGGAGGCCTTGCATAACTTGCTTAATTACTTAATTTCAGCTAGGATCTAAGACCCAAAACAACCTTAATTTTAAATATCCAATCTTGCAGTTGCCAGTCCTAACATTTCAGCCGAAAGTGAATAATTTCACGTCCGAACCGAAAAGTTGAAAGTGTTATTTTCAAGAAAGCACATATTGAGTATGCCCTCGACTAAGAGAATTTTAAGATTCAAAAAGCTTTCAGTATGTAAAACGGGCTTAATCTTTTCTGACAATATGCTAATGCAACTATGTATTGTCGCTAATCGCCAATCTAAACGTTTCACAACAAAATTCAATTTGCAAAAGTTTTCCATTACGATTTGCACACACATTACCTTTGGCTACAATTAAATCACTTTTATCTATTATTCTGATAAAGTTTGTTTAATCACGATGTGTTGGTAAATTTACTGCAATTTATCAACACCTTATAAGATTAGGTGTAATTACCTCTGCGTACTAGTTTTTAGCACTAACATTAGTCAGTTATACTAGCCCTGGGCATAGAGGAAATTGTATTTCCTCTATGCCCTGGGTCTAGTCTGTAGACCAGTTTATGGAAGCAATTCAGGGTGGTTCGTGCCCTTATTTTAATGTAACTGGATTGAACCAGAATCAGATGTCGTATCAGGAATAATTCATACTTTATCTCATCTGATATCGCCATGAAACAAAGCGAAGCGTATCACCAAAAAGGCAATACATAATGAAAAATTACGTGTAACTTTTATTATCTGGTAGGTACTTATTAAATATCACACAATTTTCAGAAAATGCGCAATTGAAATTTAAAGATGGCAAGCAGAACTATACTACATTCTGGAAGTAGCCGGTAGATCTAGAGTGGGGGCAAATGAAAATGACAAATTTTATAGAATTATACTAAATATTTTCCATCTCTCAAGTAAAATGTGTTACATATATCGTTTTTTAATGATTCTTTACACCAAATTGTAAAAAAATATAAACTAATATCTTGCGTTTATGCAATGACAGTGGTAACATCATCAATCTCTGTGATAATATTCCATAGAATGAAACTGGAATAATCCAATTTACTTTAGATAAAATTATGCCATTGTAACGTCATCTAGCTAATGTTGTAGTTGTACCTAAGAGTATTCGTTATATACTCTTTGGATGTACGTTATATGTAATAGGTACCGTTTTTCTGTAATGTTCTACTCCTGCTAAGTTAAATTTTATAGGTAGCAAAGTGTGAATTTTTTTGGGAATAAGGCCAGTTCTCCACATTTGGTTAAATTTAAATGATTAGCAAACTGCTATGGAGGTGTTTGATACGATTGGGATTTTGAGAAGTTGGCGAAGATTGTAAAGAAATTACAATGCGATTAAAATGCTCACAAATTCCTTAATACAAGCTACTCAAAGTCCTAAAAGCGTCAGTAAATGCTCCTAGAGGCACTTGAAAAGATAAAAATGTAGAGGTTAAACTATGGATAAATATGCATAAGAAAAAAGTGGGGAAGAAGGCCGTCTGGTTTGATTTTCCTGTCGGAAAGGTGTTCACTGACGTCATGGTGGGAAAAACCTTTTTTATTATACCTGAATCACAATCTCCGTTTTAAACACTCAAATGCGTGCGAAAAAGGCCTTTAAAACACACGTGCTTTAAAGTTGCTAAGTAACGATACTTCAAGTATGACTTCTGAAACTGTCAACTGGATGAAATAAAAAAATCCTCTTAGGTCGCTTTCTGTAAGTGCAGAACAGTTCTTTGGCTTTTGTACCTATCCTTTGGTTGAAGCTTTCACAAACGCGCGTAATTTAGGGTATGCTTCCAAATCTGTTCCACTTTTTAATCGCAGCATTGCTTTAAAATTTTGAATGAATGCACCAAAATATAGAAGATTTAAATACCTTTGACATTTCCTTCATATATGCCAGCATTATGGATGCATTTAAGACTTTATTCGTAAGACGTAACTTCCTATTCCATCCATGGAAAAAACTTTTCATATTCTTTATAATTGGCTTTACTGGATTTGGATTTTACACCTACCAGATGTTTAGATTTTACAACAATCGATTTAATGGACGGTGTATTATCTTTTTCAACGGAAATCGTTTAATTCACAAAGACGATGATTTTTATAAGCAAACGTCAAGTGACATTTCCATGGCAATCGTGAAATTACGAACACCCAGCCCACTTAATTAGACATGTATTCGAGTATAACGTCAATATAGTATTTCCTATTTTTAAATTATACTGCAGGTATAATAAAAAATACTATAAGATACACGTGTATAATTGGTCTTTAAAGCACTTGCAACGTTAAAGGCACTCCGCTTTGCGTCGTGCCCTTAATCTCGTTGCGCGTGCTTTAAAGACTTGATTATACACTTGTATCTTAATATACTATTATGCAAATGTAAATTATAGGTTTATTTATTCATTGTACCTCTCTTGTGCTGGGCTCTCAACAGGCTTGCGCCCAATTACCCAGTGACCCGCATAATGTTATTTAGAGGCACCCGTGCAGGTCTTAAGTTGTTCTATAACTCCGTTAATCACCTTACGAATTAGGAAAACTGCCGGAAAACCCAATTCGGAGTAGCTGACCCAATGCTCGAAACTGATCAAAGGAAATTCCAATCTCTGCCACAGATGAAAAATTCTTACTTCAGCCCAGGTTCGAACAACCAACCATTCCGGCTATGTAGCCCAACGCTTTACCTCTGAGACACATATTCAGTGGTTACCCATCTACAGAAATTAATTTTGAATTTACAGAGTGTTCCATTTTTACGGTGTCAATAAATAACTGATTTTTTTAAATCGAACACCCTGTATATTTTTACCTGCTACGATGTCATTTGTTAACCTCTACATGGAAACCTATTCATTTTTGGCTTTTTGTCAACGTTGCCATCTCATTAATTTTTTTCCGAATAATTCTCCATAAGCAGGCCTCACCTTATATCGTAGCAACTTTGATTTTGCAGTTAACAAATAAATTTGATGAATAATGGTAATCTGGGAACTTCTTGTTGTAACTTCTTGTTCACATCTTGTAATACTGTCGCTTGTTTTTCTTTTTTCAAATATCCTTTCTCCAAACTGAATGTTCTCTTTTCTTATGTCTGCTTAAGTTTTACATTGAACTTTGTGCTCTCAGGATATCTTCTTGAGCTCTCCTTGACCTTGAGTATCCTTTCTTCTAATTTCTTTTACCAATTTTAACTTCTTCTGGCTCTTCTACCCCCTCCAACTTCTCTAAACTGACTGGTTGACACTTCATTCCTTTTTTTCTTCACCTTCTTTAACTTGATATTAAATTATTTAAATTTTCTCCTTCTTTAACTTTAATTTCTTGAATTTTGATTTGTTTTACTATTATTTCTTTTTTATTTTCTTCATATGTGTTTGTTTATTATTTTCTTCTAATTTCCTAATTTTGAATAATATTAATTAAACTTATTTGTGCCTTGCTTTTTTGGGATTTCTGAGGACTAGTAGAGCTCCTGGTCCTCTCATCCGTAGTTTTCCCAATTTCTATTAATATTTTGATTTTACCCCTTTCAGCCCTTCTGGTTTCTGTTCTAGTTGTACCTACTTCTCTGTCCCTCTTCTAATGTTCTCATATCCCACTCTAATGATATTCCATGACCGTAAATTAAATTCTCGATCTTTCTTCTTCATTTGCAATTTGAATTCGTTCTAGAACGTTCGTTAACTGTGCTATTGTACTTATTCCTGAAGACCCTATTAAACTATTTTCCCCATTAGCACACATGGGCGCTATATCGTCCAAATTTGGCTTGATACCAATTGAACGAATTTTTCCCATGTATTCCATTTATTTCGGTTTAATTCAACCTTCCGCCATCTCCTTAGCGCAGGTTAATTTGTGGTAGTCATTGGGTTCAACATTTTTCATCCATACATTCGACAAAACTGACGGGATGAATGGTCTGGATGTTGCCATCGTTTTTTTTTTGTTTCTGGTGCAACATATGGTCAGCCTTGTAGATAATATAGATTTTTTTTTTTTTTTTAAACTTTATTGCTAATTTACAATCTACTCGAAATAATACAGAGTAATTAGTAAATCGTATACAGCGTGTAGGATATAACTTGAGCCAGGCACCGCCCATCGACGGTTCTCTAGGATTTATAACGTCAGATCTTCAGGCCATAGCCGGTGTAGTCTTCTGTTGTTCAGCGGTTGGGTGATTAGTTCACTTATAAGTTGGTTGTTGTGAGCGGTGTTGCGGTCTTTGTATTTGATTGCATTTGATTTAACTACATAGTTTACATAGGGCATGTCTAGGTCAGTATGTAAGGTTAAGTTTGATATGTACCATGGGGCATCAACAATTCTCCGGAGAGTTTTCGACTGGAACGTTTGAAGGATCTTGGTGTTAGATGGTTTACTGCAGCCCCACAGCTCAACTCCGTAAGTCCAGATAGGCTTGAGCATGGTTTTGTAAAGAAGCAATTTGTTTTCAAGAGATAACTGCGAATTTCTATTAAGGAGTCAGTTCATATTTTTAAGTTTTAAGTCTAGCTGTCGTTTCTTTGCTTTAATGTGTGATTTCCATGTAAGTTTTGAGTCTAGGTGCAGGCCTAGGTATTTTATTTCTTCATGGATAGGAATGGGGTGGTTATTAATTGTTAGTTGAGGACAGATTACTCTTTTTGTTGTGAACGTAATTTGTACCGATTTGTTTGCATTAATGTTTATTTTCCACTTTTTTAGCCACTGTTTGATGAGAGTAAGATGCTCCTGAAGTTTGGCTGATGCACTAATGGGGTTTGGGTCCGCGCACATAATAGCGGTGTCGTCGGCAAATGTAGCCATAAGCGTATCGTTTGCCTGCGGAATATCTGCAGTGAACAGAAGGTATAAAAACGGACCCAGAACGCTACCTTGCGGAACTCCTGCTCTGATCGGGCGATAGGGAGAGATAGCTTCACCGTATTTAAGTTGGAAAAATCGGTCTTCAAGGTAGGATTTCAGTAATAGGTAGAATTGATCTGGCAGATTCCTTTTGATCTTGTAGAGTAGGCCGTTGTGCCATACCTTATCAAAGGCTTGTTGAACGTCGAGTAGAACTGCTACACATACCTTTTTCCTTTCGAAACTGTCTCTGATTTTATTTACCAGTCTGTGACACTGCTGGATGGTCGAGTGGTTTTGTCGAAATCCAAATTGGTGCTGCGGGATTAAATTCTCCATGGGGATGGCTTCCGATATTCTGTTGAGTATTAGCCTTTCGAAGATTTTAGATAAAAGAGGCAACAGACTGATAGGTCTGTAAGAACTTACTTCTGTTACAGGTTTACCGGGTTTTGCAACCGTGACTATTTGGGCAAATTTCCATTGTAAGGGAAAGTAACACAGACGCAACATGCTATTGAAGATCGTCGTTATCAGAACTACAGGTTTGCGAGGGAGGTTCTTTAAAACTTCTCCAACGATTAAATCATAACCGGGGGCTTTGTGTGTGTTTAAAGATTGTATTTCTTCGCGGATTTCCTTAGGTGTAAAAGCTCTTATTGGAGGAGATAGCTGACATGGAGCATCCAGAAAGTTGAGTATTTCGTTATCATTATTATTGTTATGATGTAGCTGTATGTTAAATGTATCAGCAAGATGATCTGCAAAAACGTTTGCTTTTTCAGCGTCTGTTCGTGCCCAGCTTTGGTCAGGTTTCCGAATTGGGGAAGCAGTAGCGACAGGTCTTTTAAATTTTTTAGTGGCTTTCCACAGCGAATGGTCGTCAAGAGATAAATTTCTGGTGTACGTCAGAAAGGAATCGTTACGGGCTTCCTTGATGGCCGAGTTTAGGTTATGGGTTAACCGATTAAGATGGGTTTTGTCTAACGGATTTCTAGAATTTTGCCAACGACGTCGAGCTTTGCGTTTTTCCCTAACAAGTTCTTTTATCTGGA